AAACCGTCCCATGTTTTTCACCATTGCAACTCAAAAAACCATATGGCGCTCGACTCTCAATCTGCAGGTCGCGGGTTCGAATCTCCGTCACACCAAACAGGCTCGCCCTTTCAGCCGTGTAGACATTATAATGTGACGATCAATCTCACTATTCGTTGGTAAAAGAGTAGGCCAAGATTTGGCGGTGGGTGGTGATGACTAGCTGCCATCCCTGTAGTCTTTCACTGCTAAATTAGGGATGGCTAGTGGAGATATCTCTCTTGTAGCTTTGCCCGAAATTTAAACTTCAACTTAATTCTGACTATCATTATATAAAGGTCGATGTAGTTTCGACAACTATCTAGCTATATGTATTTGATGGTATTTACTGCGAACTCTAAAGAGTCATGATATTCTAACTTGTTCAAAAAAACAGAACTTTAGTAGAAGCTTTTTAATTATCATTTCTAACATTTTCAGACCTTATTATAATATGAAAACACTCCATCTTTTGAACTTATGCAATCATATTCAAATAACGTCTCTATTACAATAATCTGGCTGAGAAAAACAAAGTACTTATTAATATAGATAAGTTACAGTGACTGTGAGCAACAGAAGAAATGGATGTCGATAATCTGAATTTGTAAAATATTTTTATTCCAGATAGTTTCATAAGGCTTTTTGTGAACGTTCCTATAAATATGTTCGTCTGTCAGTACACACACGGGTCTGCTTTAAAGAAAAACAAAATCATCGCATTTTCACTACCCAGATTTGTATCCAGAATACGATAATTTAAACTTCCAAACAAAATTGTCTTTGTAACAGTTGTATAAGGATCCATGTATCTATATGGATATATACAGAATATAATTACACTTTACGATATAACATCGAATATCGCTATTTAGCCACTGTTTGGTAGATTGGCTAAATAACATTTAAAAATAACGACTTATGTGTGAAAACCTGACATCTATTGACAAAAAATGTAATGACAAACATGTAGAGATAAAAAAAATAATAATAAAGCAATAATAGCATTTATAAAATAGTTAAAGGTATAGGTTGTTTAACTAACCCTTAAATAAGTCTAATCTAGTTGAGGTACGAAAAAAAAAATATTCGACATCCAATACATAATTGTTTCAAGGTTTTGAGCCACCTGTGGACAGCAAGATGAATTACAAATAGAATGTATCATGTTTTGGGGATTCAATCAGAAACATGAATCGTAATGTGTTAATATAATAGAATGAGGATTAGATTGATCTTCTTCAACAGAATTCTTGCTCTTTACTATTTTTCTAAGAGTTGGTACGTTTGTCAAGTGTTTTTAATCATGCAACTGAAACTTGAAGCAAGCCTATCTTTGTCCCAAGTTATAGACAATAAAACTAACATTGTACAAACCTTTCGAAGATGATTAATTGTTCTTATTTATCTATATTTATTTCTTTAGGAAGGTCTCACCATCACCTAAAAAATTCACTTTCAACACTTGAGGGCTTAATAGTTACAACCCTCTCCCCATTTTAAGAAGTTTCATTTATATATACAGCTCCCAAAGAGGATAGATTCGTGTAGATGTGCAAAATGTCTGTATTAGCAATACGTTTCTTTTTTATTGATTTGATAGTTGAAGGCATTCATCTCTATGGAGTACTGGAGTAAATATGCAAAGAAAAATGTTTACGTTTATTATGTCATGAAAAGTTGCTGTACGTTGTATTTCGATTTTGATTTAAATCGTTTGAAGCACATGGGCAGAACTTCTTCAAACATAACGAAATATTCCCAAAGTCACTCTAGCAACCTGAATTCACATTTAAAAAAATTATTATAGAACCTGAATTTACCTTTAAAAATAAAAAATCTTATAGAACCTGAATTTACCTTTAAAAGAGATCCTTATATAGCCGGAATTCACCTTTAAAAAAGAATCTTGTAGAACCTGAATTTACCTTTAAAAGAGATTCTTATAGAACCTGAATTCACTTTTAAAATATTCTTATAGAACATGAATTCACTTTTAAAAGAGACCCTCATAGAACCTGAATTCACATTTAACAAAGAATCTTATAGAACTTGAATTCACCTTTAAAAGAGATTCTTATAGAACCTGAATTCATCTTTAAAAATAATCTTATATAACCTGAATTAATCTTTAAAAAAATAATCTTATATAACCTGAATTAATCTTTAAAAAAAGAATCTTATAGAAGCTGAAATCACTTTTAAAAGAAATTCTTTTGGAACACAAATTAAAAGAAATTCTCCTGATGAGCTTTATTAAGCACTTATTGTGTGGTTGATATCTTTCTCTAGCATATTTCTTATTATTACCACAATTTAGTGTGTAAATAAATCAATGTACTCTCTCGATGACCGTTGAAATACGTAAATCACACAACTGTAAGGTTAGAACGTGCAATTTACTACGATTAAAACCTGCTAGTTAAGTTTTAATTTGTCACGATATCTCACCATTTTTTAGAATTGGCGCGTATAGAAAATGTAAAGTGCTTCTAGGCTACGATTTGTATTCAAATTCTATAAGGATCTCTTTTAAAGGTGAATTCAGACTCTATAAGATTTTTTATTTTTTAAAGGTAAATTCAGGTTCTATAATAATATTTTTTAAATGTGAATTTAGGTTCTATAAGAATCTCTTTTAAAGGTAAATTCAGGTTCTATAAGAATCTCTTTTAAAGGTAAATTCAGGTTTTATAAGAATCTCTTTTAAAAGTGAATTTAGGTTCTAGAAAGATATTTTTTAATTTCGTATATGGGCTTCATAAGAATCTATCTTAATGGCGAATTTGGACTTCATAAGAATCTCGCTTAATGATGCATTTGTCTTTTGTAAAAATTTATTTCAATGATGAACTTGGGTTCCAGAAGAATCTATTTTAACTATGAATTTGGGTTCCGAAAGAAGCTATTTTCATGATAAATTTGTGATCATAAGAATCTCTTTTAACGGTGATTTCAGTTTCCAGAAATATATATTTTAATAGTGAACTTGGGTTCCAAAAATATTTCTTTTAATGGTAATTATATCAACCATTCGTTAGCAATAAAAAATTGTCCTGCAAAGAAGTGAAGGTTTGGTGTGTTATGAATGATGTTGTAACAAATTATTGATGTAAAATATCACCAAATATTTAGTGTTCTTTACCCTAGACATAGTAGCATCATCATTTCGGAAGTCAAAGATCGATTTACAGTACAACTGTTTGCCTGTTGCTGGAAGTTACTAGTACATGTGTTTCAGTAGGATAGCACTAAGTCTACGAAGTTACAACGCAAAACATCCGAGGTTCGATTTCCTGCGGTGGACAAAGCAAATAGCCAAAAGTGGCTTTGCGTTATGACAAAGATTACTATATTCGCTATTGACCTCCGTCGTATAGTCAGTCTGTAATGACCTTATGGTCGGCATAACTTTGAGAAAAAAGACATAAGAGATTATCTCTACAGCTAATTTAACAAAGTTAGCCATGACCTTAAAGAAAGGTCAAGGTCTTATAAAAAATTAGAAACTTGAAGGAATTGCATGGAAGTATGAACAAGCCGTGGCACTTCAAATTCTTTTTAGCCAGGATTAAAGTAAATTAATCTAAGAGACCTTGGGCGTGGTCAAATACATCAATCGAAAGAATTTGACCTCCTGAGTCCAAAACTGTAATTTCCCGACTGAAGGGGCGAGCATGTTCGGTAATGGGGTTTGTTTTATAATTACACGCAGAGATACACAAGGGTAGTTCTAGCGGTCAGCGTGCCCGACCTGTGAGATCAAGAGACTCCATGAATTGAGTTCTGTTTCCGCAAAAACGAGCTCCACCCATTGGGACTGTAGGTACACTGTGAGAGTGCTGGTCAAATCCGATTATCTGGTCAGACAAGAGACGTCAAAGAATTGGCAGTGTGCGGTGTTGATGACTAGCTGCCTTCCCTCTAATCAATCACTTAAATATTAAGACCGACTAGTGCAGATAGCCCTCGAGTAAGTTTATGTGAAATTCAACAAAAATGCATTCATATATTAGTTTACATTGAGTATAATATGCTTAGTTACTTATGACAGAAATAACG